CAGTTAGAAACTCTTTGTTTATCTGGTTTTGCATCTAGGTATAAATATTTTAAATCCAGTAGAAGAGCACAATGATCATGAAGAAGAAGAGGGGGAAGACGATAATTTACCAGAAAGCGGGGTTGTCATGCCTCTTAAAGACGGTAGCGGTTTTGTTAAGAAACGTACCAAACCTTGTATTGTTCGGTATAGAAGGTTTAACCCATATTTGGCCAGAATTGAGTATTTCCGCGAAATGGTAATGCTTTACTATCCGTGGCGGAATGAACAGCAAGATCTTATTGTAAACGATAATGAGCAGACTTGCATAACATATCGTATTCTAATTGAGGAAAATCAAAGAAAATATGATGTTTTTGAGCAAAGAGAACTTGAAAATGTTCTCGAAAGTATTTATAATGAAATAGACTTAGAGGAAGGTGATCAAAATAAACTACCTGTTGTGGAAAATGAGTTCAGAGTGTTGGCACATCCAGAAATAAACCCAAATATAAATTTTCTGGAGTTGCATGGTGAAGATTCAACAGATAATGGAACTGAATCTGATTGCAAAAGTAGACTTATTAAACTACCATCTTTAATTCCAGTTGAGGAATTATTTTCTTTAGTTCAAAGTCTAAATACTAAGCAAAGAATCAATTTGACACATTTGATGCACCAGCTCAAAACAAACCGCCCATTTTATGAGTTAATTGGCGGCGGTGCAGGTGTATTAAAGAGTCGTTTGATATCTGCAATATATCAAGCGCTTAACGTACACCTGGATCCAATCCAAGTTCCTTAAAAGTTCTTTTTTGCGCACCTACGGGCATTCAGTTGGATAGAGAGTTGGGGCCACTTAGCAATGACACAGTTAATTTATTGTATTCCAGACTTATCGATTTAACATTTATCATAATTGATGAAATATCGATGGTAGGTGCTCGTATCCGATCATAGTCTTTGATGATTTGAAGCAAATCTCACCTGTTGGAGATGGCCCTATGGCATCTGGTACTATGACAAATTAGGACATACCACTCATTGAAACTCAAGTAGTTAATTTAGAGAAATATCCCAATGATGCCATACATTTAATTTGGTCCAATGAAGAGACAAATAATTTCAATGCCCTTATGCTCAGTCGAATCCCAACTGAAGCTATCCTTTTAACTCCAAAAGACTCAGTTAAAGGAATTGGTATAAGTGATGAATGATAATATTTTGGAAAGAGTTAAACTTTGCCTTATGACTGCCTTGGAATAACTATTCATAAAAGTCAGGGTGTCACATATAATAAAGTTGTAGTTCCTACTCGACCCAGAATGCATAGAGCTTCAACATATGTCGCTTGTAGTCGAGCTACTTCTGCAGAAGGTCTATTCATCATAGGAAATTTTATTCCTCCTAACGAAAGTTTGGATATACCAGGATTTACTCCAATTAACGAGCTGAGGATAGATAGCACGGAAACAAGCAACAGAAATAAACGGGGCATTATAATATATGCAAAGCAAGCTTTGCTAGTTCTACAGAACCAAAGGTTGGAAAGAAAATGTATTCAGGCCGCAAAGTTTTAAAATCGGTTTTGTTTAAATGTAATTTTTATATTATTATAATATTAATATTCTGGTTCTATAAAGAAATTCAGTTTTCTCTGTCAGACATTTAATTGTAGAACTTCAGGAAGTCCTTACTTCTGAGTTATGCAATCAAAATGCGCTAATTGTTGGAGATTTCAACATTTGTTTAATGTATACAGGGAATTCAATAGGAAATCTGCTCCAAGAAAAAAACTTTAGTTGCCTGCTTGGTGTAGAATATTCAACTACACCTACCGGTACACAAATTGATTGGGCATTTTCAAACATGGATCCTTTCCATGTAATGCAATTACTTTTGAGACAGTACACAGCTATCATGAGAGTATTTGTGTCTCTATTTCCAACTAAAGTTTAGAGACTTATTGCAATAGTTCTTCATTTTTTTTTTTCAAATATATATTAAGAAATGGTATAGACATTTTGACAATAGTTTTTAAGACAATTTTAAAAGAAATGTGTAAATAATCTAATTAAGAAAATTTAAATTATATGTATAATTTGTTATTATATAAGACATTATTATACAAATATATGATAGAAATTAAATAGTATAAGGAGAAAAGAAATATAATTTGGATATATGTATAAGAATCTATATAAAAACTTATGTTTAATATTGTAAATATTATATACAAATTAATATAATAACATAATTTTTAAAGTTGTTAATATTTATAATTTTTAAGCTAAACATGTATAATAATATCGATATAATAAATAAAAGATGTTATTCATTGTCAAAAAACGAATTATTTTCATACTTTATTGTGAATGTAAATAACTGAGGCAACGGTTCCTACTTCTAATTATTAAAATATATATAGAAATCTCAAACGAGTATGCCTTTTGACTATGCGAGAGTATAAAATGTTCGGTTACATCCGAACTTAGCCCTTCCTTACTTGTTTTTCGCATATTTTCGGCAAAAATCCTGAGAGTGGAGTTCACGTGATGTTTATATGTGCGAAGAAGGAGCGCATAACCCTAATCATGATTGGAAAACTAAATTGTATTACTAATAAGCCGATATTGGATCAAAATATAAGATATGTTAATATCATAAAGATAAAATCACATTCACTACTTTTGTGAATAAATTCGTAATCTGGACACTTGAAACCATCAAAGTTTGCTAAGATATCCATACACAAAAAATACAGTATTTTTGCGGAGCTGCCTAAAAGTTCTTCTGAGCTGCAGGATGATTAATGCGGAATGGAAAGGAGCCAGATTGATCAAATTAGCGCAAACAGCAACTCCTCGGGTGCGTGTAATGTCATGGTCACTTGTAGCTAATGAGCTTTTAAAAAAATGTTAAAGGAAAGCACTCAAACTGATATCCTATGCAGACAACATAGCTATATCAGTGACTGGACAAGGCTTTAAGAGTCATACACCGATGGCCGATATCGGTCAACCTAGAGGTAAATGCCGATAAGACGGAAGCCCCCGAGACTCATCGGGATTGAGTTAACAATTACGATGCATACCAAATACTTGGGAATAATTTTGGATAGCAAACTAATGTGGAGGAGAGAGTGAAAATGGCCAGTGATGCCCTAGATGCATTTAAGAAGATGCTAGGGTCTATAAGAGGCCTATCACTTGGCGGCAGCCAAACAGCGGCGTAGTCTTTCTCTACGGCTACGGTGTGATGGACCGTTGTCAGCAAAATCTCATACAGAAAACCGTTGGAGCGGATACAGCGATTCGCTGTTCTTTGCATAACGGTAGCACTAAGAACCACTCCAACGGCTGCACTATGTTACTCAACCTAACACTAATCGACATTGCAGTGGAAAGCTCTGCAGCAAAAAGAGCTGCAAGATTAGCGGGGTTGGGTAAATGATCCACAAGAACCTTCGGGTGTAGCTGAATAAGCTGGGGGTTGGTAGATAAAATAGACTACATACTCTAACGCTTTATTTGGGGCATAAGGTTTCAATTCACACTAAAAGAGAGTGGATGGCACAGAAACATGCGACTGGCCAGCGGAACTTACAACACCTATACAGACTTATCGAAAATGGCTAATGGAGTGGGAGCGGGAAACCATTGCTCGGAGCTACATCTCAGGCGACCCTTCAAGCTTTCGGAATACTGCAGTATTTTCCAAGCCGAAGTCTTGACGATCAGGAAGGCGGCTAAGATGGAACAAAACATAAAGAAGATCAGTTACATATACCTATGTCGATAGCCAGGCGGCAGTTAAGACAATAATCTTACATCGCATTACGTCAGAGAATGTCCTTAGAAGCAGGGTGGCAGTAGATGTAACAATTGCGGAAAAGCGGCATATATACTGGGTTTCAGACCACAACGGAATTCCGGGAAACGAAATAGCTGATGAGATAGCAAGTGTCATTCGCCTGTCCACCGAACCGGTACAGGAAATACTGGAGACACTAAAAACGATATACATTGATGAATTTCCACAAAGGCTGTAAGATGGATCAGGCCGAGATGGAACACATGATCACCAAGATCATGTTCAAGAGCCCCGAAAGAAAACTCGCATGCATTTTACTTACACGTTCTCGAAAGGACGATTACTGGCATCACACACGAGCCTGATGAGCATAAGTAACGACGATACATGCAGAAAGCGCAGGAAAGTAGGCATAAGACAGGCGGAATACCTCCTACGCTTCTGTCCAGCATTATCTATAACTCGTCTAAGATATCTAAGCGAAATATTGAAGTTCAAGGGACTAGATAAAGTATCAAAGTTAGATATAAAGTCGCTCTTAATTTCGCAAAAAGCGTTGTCGTCCTTAATGACGAATACTTCAGCTTATATTTAAACAGAATCTCCATCTGGCATTACTAAGGACAGCCAGTTAGTATAACTTAAGGGGTTATATGGGTTTCGTCGGGTAAAAAAGGGATATTTTCAAAAAAAATGTTTCTATATAAAAAATTATTTATTTAATTCCAACTTTTTCTGTCTTCAAAAAACACATTTAAAGAATAATTTCTGAGATTTTCAAAAAAAAAAATTAAAACTATGCCATTGTAACGTTATGTCCGGTGACCCCTCGAAGCATAACTCCTGACAAGATCATCTAAAATGAATAAAACAAAAATATGTGTTTTAGTTAAGACCATAAACTCGTGCTTGAACGAAGAAAAAAAAAAGGTAAAATTGGAATTTTGGCAGACCTTTTTCCAACAAAATGAAAATTTCGGTCAAATTTGTTAGACATTTCTTTTTTTAAAATAGTTGTAATTGAAAAAAAATCTTTCGTCCAAGCACTAGTAAATTGTATCTCAAACACCTGTATAAAATTTCATCATATGTTGAGTAGTTTTCAAGGACTTTTGGCAACCGACTTTGAAAACACAGTTCCGAGTAAAACGCGTTTAAAGTTTTGAGTAACAATAAAAGTGGAAAAACAAAGTTTTTCTGTAACTTACAGTGAATTGTCGATTCCTGGGCCATAAAGTAAAGATCCTGCAGCAGTTGCAATGTCCAGGGCATCCTTTTACTTCTGTCGATGACGGATTCTAGCTTCGCGAGTCTCGCTCGCAGATTTTTTTTCAGTTGCGCACACACGGTTTTCATCCGAAATTCGGGCATATTCGTGGGAGTTCCGGCCTTATTTTAAATCCATACCGTGCATAATCAATAATTAAGCTGATGTTCCTTCATTGAAGGTATAAGCAGCGACCAATGCCGCAATATTAACAATCTTTGAATCATCAGGCAGTGTTTTTAGAGTAATTTTCTAGATCAACTGGTTCAAGCACTCCTTATTATTTTGTGGGAAACCACCAACACACCGTTCTAGGTGCTCATTCTTACTGAGATCTTCATAGGTATATTGGTGTTATAGCAATCAAAACTTCATTTGGTAATAGAGTTTACTCATGTTTAAATGATGAAAGAGTATTTGTAGCTGATGCTCGTTGCCAAGCGCACCAAGGGTCTGGACCTTTAGGGCCGTTATCGTGCTGAGGTTTTTTATCTGTAGAGCTATAGTGATAATAGGTAGCCCATATAGCGTGTTTAATTTTTTCCGCCTGTTCACAGTTTCTTCTTATCGCCAAACCATAGCACACAGTTAATTTGTCTATTAGTTTACTTGTCAGTTTACCTTTGCCAAAAAGAGTTTTTTTTTTGTGTTTTTTTACCGTTTACTACTTTTTCCTCAGTTGTTTTCTTTAGTAACTCACGCAAATGGGTCCCCATTCCTTTTTACAAGTGCCCAACGCATTCTTTTTTATTGATAACAAAATCTTCACCATAAAGTTGGGTTTTGAGAAGACCAGAGTAGATTTTTGAGTCCGCATCTCCTATATAATTTCAAAACATAAGTCCATGTTTGACAATCGAGCGTTTAAACATTTCAATAATCGATGAGACTTCCATGTTTCCTGATGCTTCAGTGTGATTGGCGGTGCATTGATTTGTTTCAATGTGTTCTTCTTTCCATTCTTCATATTTTACAGTGTCTTATTTTTTATTCCAGCTTTCACTTAACTTACAATAAGAAGATTTCACCGATTAGTAAATTCACACCATATAGTGATGATAAACCACGTTTCTTCCAGGTACCGTCACCGGACAACACCCACATCTGTCGTATCTTGTAAATCGCTTTCAAGACTTGTTAATTGTTTTTCTTCTTGAGCAGCAGATGAGAATAGAGTTTGAGGAACTGTCTCAATACACTCATGTATTTTATCAATATAAAAATAAACTGTTTATGTCCATCAAGCCACAGAATTTCTTGCATCCGGCGAGCCCTAAGCTCAGTATTCTCATAACCAAAATGAATGAATTTCGGATCACATCGTTCACATTCTACTATGATTTTAAATCCCAGACCAAATTTCGAACATTGCTTAAAGTGTACTTTACCATTACACAATTGATCTTCATCTTCATTTTTAATAATGTTAGAAAGTCGCACAAACGCTGAGAGAGTTGAGAACACCAAGGCAAAATCTATGATTGAATATTGGAGCGTGTCCTCTTTTGGCACGTGCTCTTTATCATCACCTTTTAATTTTTTTTGCTGATGTGCTCGTGAAGGAACTATCATCAGTTACCATTCCTCTATCCCATCTGAAAATGTACTTGTTTCAGGGGCCGACTCATTTGAGTTTAAATGTATTAGAGTCTACAAGTACGTTAATAGTTGCTTTATTTATTTAACTCTATCTTATATACCACCCCATTCGGACCTATCTGTATACATGCAACATGCAACATGCAGCAAGGACTGTTTCCTTTTTCTCGGTCTATCTTTTCTACGAGCTCCGACGGCTAACTGTTTCCTTGAAATTTGATGCATTGTTTATCAATTTCACAACTTACACTAGATAACCACTAATAATACCACGTTTTTTATAAATTTTATGATAGAAATTTGGGACAACCTCAATTAAAGCTAGTTCTTCAAGGAGTAATCACCAACTAAAATATTTTAAACTAGTTGTTCTTAGGAAGTGAAAGTAATATACAAGAGACAAACAATAGACGAGCAGCTGCTCCCTATACCTGAGGCGCTCTGACCTTTCTATACCTGACTTGGAGCGCACACCTTCCAAAGGCTGTATCTCCGAAACTGTTGTTCGGATTGACTTGAAAAGTTAGAATAATATTCTTGACAGGTTGTAGAAATTAATAACCAAAATAAAAGATTTTCTCCGATTTTGATCTTTACAAATTGCGAAAGTATAAAATGTTTGGTTACACACTTACTACTTTCTTACTTGTTATGATTTGTTGGTGTTACCTAGTAAAATACTTTAATTTTTAACTTAATAATTTGCTTTATGAGACCCCTGTGGTCTAAAAGGAATGTTACAAAAATTGGGCCCAGTGGGCGTTCTTGAACTTATCTGATTATGTACTCGCTGCTTCATTCCATATGTTCAGTTTTTTGTCGAAATAACGAAACGAAATTACCATTATCGTGCAGACTTATTATATGGCTTCTTGTTTTGCTGTTCCAACACACAACCGGTGCCAGAAAACATCAACTCAAACTCTTTGGATTCCTCTCGTTTTCTTTCTTTCTCTTCCTTGACGTGATTAATGTAGTATTCTTGCCACACTGAATCCTGAATCTAAAAAGTATATACATATGTAAAAGATTTAAATATTTTTTTTTTAAATATTGAGTATAACATATATCTTCTTTTATACTCTCGCAACCTGTTGCTACAGAGTATAATAGTTTTGTTCACCTAACGGTTGTTTGTATCACCTAAAACTAATCGAGTTAGATATAAGGATATATATATATATATATATAAATGATCAGGATGAAGAGACGAGTTGAAATCCGGGTGACTGTCTGTCCGTCCGTACAAGCTCTAACTTGAGTAAAAATTGAAATATCTTTATGAAACTTGGTAGACATGTTTCTTGGTACCGTGAGACGGTTGGTATTGCAGATGGGCGTAATCGGACCACTGCCACGCCCACAAAACGCCATTATTCAAAAACAAATAAATTGCCATAACTAAGCTCCACAACAAGATAAAAGACTTTTATTTGGTATACAGGATCGCATTAGGGAGGGGCATCTGGAGTTTAAATTTTTTTTTAAAGTGGGCGTGGTCCCGCGTTAATAGGTTTAATGTGCATATCTCCTAAACCGCTAATGCTATAATAACAAAATTCACTGGAAGCAAATGGTTTCAGAACCTCTACCTACAGTGTGAAAATAGTTGAAATCGGGTGGCAACTCCGCCCACTCCCTATATAACGGTACTGTTAAAAACTACTAAAAGCGCGATAATCCAAGCACTAAACACGCCAGAGACATTGAATTTTATCTCTGGGATGGTATAAGATGACTTTATAGAAACCGCGTTCAAAATTAGACAGTGGGCGTGGCACCTCCCACTTTTAGGTGAAAACCCATATCTTGGGATCTGCTTAACCGATTTCAACCAAATTCGGTACATAACGTTCTTTTCATATTTCTATGTTACAGTGCGAAAACGAGCGAAATCGGACTACAACCACGCCATTCCTTACTTGTTAAATACAGGTTTCTCAAAATTCAAAAATGCTAGGAACTTAGCCTAGGAATAACATAATATTAGCTGTCTTCGGTTGATCATTTCTATGCCCTCTTGTCAAATCATTTACATTCTCTGGTGGTATAACCATGGTGGTGAATCCGAATGTCAAAATTTTACTCAGCTCCCGAGGTGTGAATACAGATATGGATTTAGAAATAAACGAATTTAAAAGAACCGTAAAATATGTTATTAATTCGCACTTATTTGTACTTTCAACATGTTGCTACATAGCATAATAGTTTTGTTCACCTTACAGTTGTTTGTATTACATAAAACTAATCGAGATAGATATGGAGTTATATAGGGATATCACGATGACGGGGCGAGTTCAAATCTGAATGAAAGACTGTCCATTGTATTGAAATCCTCGTTAAATCCATTTTGAATGACCTACTTGTCCAATTTCAACGAAATTAAAACATTTCAAAAATAGTGCTGTTTAGACGTGCCATCCGCATTATTCAAAAATTATTTTATTAATTGTTTTGACTTTTTACATAAAGAGATAAAAAGTATCCTATGTCCGTCCGTCGGTTTTATACTTTCCCAATAAATTTTCAGTCAAATAGGTTCAGCCGTTCTTAAGTATTAAACAGTGTAACTAATACGACTTCATTTAATACATATGTACATAAATGCAGTGGGTCATAGCTTATTTGATACAGCACTCAATGTAAAATTCAAATCGCGTTACTTTCAAAACTAATACGAATATTGCAAAAACTAAAACGCCAATTTAAAGAATAGTGAATTTTGTATACTTCAGAAACTTTATGTATTTACCAACTTAAATACCGCTTGATTTCATACCACAGCTTATCTGATACAATATAATTACTCATTGACGTAAAACGTGTATACGATAAATATTGTATATGTGTTTTAGTATTTCGTATGGTAGCCTGTAGCCTTACGAGATCCTGGATCCTGGTTGTGATTGAGTTCACTTGGAATTTTGCCGGATTGCACGATTTTTGACTTGTGCTTTGGATCATTATCTTGATAAAAGCGGAAATTCTGACTAATACTAAGTTTATCGACACTTTACAGCAAATTTTTTTAAGGATATCGAAGTATATATTTTTGACCATTGTGCCTTCAATAAACTCTAAATTCCCTACACCGGCTGCAGATATGCAAGCCCAAACCTTCAAACTTTCACCGCCGTGCTTCAAAATAGCTTTAGGGTTCTCTTTATTTAGCTCAGTATTCTCTTTGGACAAACGTAAGGCATGCCTTCGAAGTTAAAAATATTAAACTTGGACTCATCTGAGAATATGACAGTATTCCAGAAGTCCATGGTCCTGCATGTATGCTCTTTTGCGAAATTTAACCGGTGGTGTTGATTTTTCTTACTTAGCTTCTTACGAGCTACTCCGCTTTTGAAATCATGTTCGCGGAGTACACGGTGGATAGTTTCGACGCTGCATGCTTTCCTTATTCCTGCTTAACATCTGCAGCCAGTTTTGGAGCTGATAGTTTGGGGTTAACTTTGACTTTTCTGACAATATATCACTCATCAGAAACACTAAACATTTTGTTAGGTGCTATTCTGCCCTTATATTCCACGCGATTTTTGTGTATAAAACATTCAAATATATGCTGCACAGTAGTGCTTCTACAAAGATTTACATTTTCATAAATTTTACACAGCTATTGACCGTTTTTGTTCACGTTGCTCTAATATTGTGGGACCACCCATTTTTTCAAATTCACTTACTCGCGCTTCGAAATGTCAAATTAAACTAAAAATTATCTGACTATAATCACAAATGCCACCAGAAAACCTTAACAAATGAAACAACCGTTACTTGGCGCAACAGTATGCAGCTGGGCGATGCTGAAGTCCATGAATCAAACAAGCTGTGAGCTGCGTTTCTGTATTGTTGATGCAATTGCGCACTTGTAAGTCATATGCATATACAAATGTGAAATTTGTTTTGCGCATTTTATGAGTTTTACTATGATCGACAACTTTGGATTAGAAAATGTTTTGTTTTTCTTTTTGTTAAGTAAATATTGCAGTTGGAATTTTACATTGAGTGCTACAATATATCAAATAAGCTGTGACCCACTGAAAGTATATTGCAAAATCGACGGTGACCTTGCAAAAAAGGCCTCCGTTAGGACCTTCTGCAGGAGTAAATTTTCTCGTCTTTCCGTGCTGTGGTTCGGACGTTCTACGGTTACATAACGAAATAGCGTTTCTTTTTATACTCTTGCAACATGTTGCTACACATTATAATAGTTTTGTTCACCTAACATTGGGCGTATCACCTAAAACTATTTGAGCTAAATGTAGGGTTATATATACATATATGCATAATTGATCAGAGTGACAAAACGAGTTGAAATCCGGATGTCCATCCGTTACAAAACACCATTAATCGAAAATTATAAAACGCCATAACTAAGCACTAAAATAAGATATACACGTATAAACAAAATAGTAGGTGTATGTTTAGCTGGTACTGTTTTTTAGCCAAAAGGTGTTGTAACTGTTGCTTTTTTTTATACCGTTACATTTTTACGATGAAGGCGAAAGAGTAATGCATAAGTATCAACAAATTGCATTGCGTACAAATTCATTCATCAGGGAGGTCGAAAAACTTTGTAACTAATGCTCTAAAGCAAAAAAAAGAAAAGGAAACTAGTGGTCGTCCAAGAAAAACTGGCCTGATTGATGATCGTCGTATACTTCTCTCGGCAAAAAAGGACCCTTTGTGACTTTACGACGAATTGCAGCGGAAGTTGGACTAAATATTAGCTCACGGACAATTCGGCGTCGATTAGTGAACTGTAATCTACCGGCTGAACATAAAAATTGGTGCGGTCCCACTGGAGAAAAAAGTGGCGAAATATTTTATTCAGTGACGAAGTTAAGATTAATTTTTATGGAAATGATTATAAAAGAACTGTCCGTCGCCCTAAAGGCATAGAATTTGATTGTAGATTCACCAAAAAGACAATTATGCATGGGGCGGAAACATAATGGTGTGGGGATGTTTATCCTGGCAAAGCGTTGGTCCGTTATTTTGGACAGAGGACACAATGACCGCACTTGAGAACAGAGACATTTTACAAAACGTGTTGCTACCATACGCTGAAGAAAACATGCCGCTGAGATTGAGTTATCAACAAGATAACTACCCGAAAAATACATCAAGGTTGGTATCTGAGTGGTTCAGGGATGCTAATGTGACCTGTATGCAATGGCCTAGTAAATCCCCTCATCTCAACTCGATTGAGAACTTGTAAAGTGACCTTAGGAGGAGATTGACAGCCTTTTCTTTTCAAAATAAGGAGCAACTGTGGCGAAAACCAAGATGCTACTCCATTTGGACCGAAAAAAGGATAACTTGAATTTTTTGATTTTATTTAGAAGAAATATTTTACATCTATTATTTTGACCAATGATATTTCTTATTTTGAAAAAAAAATCGGAACGAAAAATTTTCGACATATTTATGTTTAATAAAGTAAAGTAAATGTCTAAAACAAAATTGTTTTAAATATAAAATCTTCAAAGTTATTAAATAAAAACTGCGTACACATATTATTTTGTCCATAAGTGTATATCTGTAATTTGGTACAAAACATTGTATTGGGGAGGTACATCTATGGTTGACAAATGTTTCAAAAGTGGGCGTGGCCCCGTCTCCTAAAGCATTCAATATTTGCACAGAATAAATATTTGTGACACTTCCTTACACTGCGAATATAAATGAAATCGGATGATAACCCCGCCAACTCCATACATAACGGTTTTTTTTTAACTACTAAAAGTGCGATAAATCAACAACCAAATGCGTCAGAGACATTAAGTTTTACATCCGAGATGGCACAAGGAAGTTTTAGAGAAACCGTTGTCAAAATTGAACGATGGGCGTGGCACCGCCCATATTTAGGCGAAATATTATAACTCCGGAATTGCTCGATCAATTTAACAAAATTTGGTACATAAAATTATTCTAACAACCCCATTTCACAATGAGAAAATGAGCGAAACTGGACTGCAACAACGCCTTCTTCTT